TGAAATACAAGTATTTCATCTCATTGTTCATAGCATGAGCAACACTTGATCAACAACATCTTCTAGTGCATTATCGTAACTAGTAGGATCAATGTCACTCAACAAGAAACAACTTGAGAGTTAACAAGATTCTCTCCCACTACGAATGTACTGCACTAGACCTTGTGTATTTATAGGTAAAACAAAGAGTGGGTCAAATGATGGATCTTCAATTTCTTGATGATCCGCTTATCCTTGATATTGTTCCTTTACATGTGATACTAATATTTCTACTAGTTTCACTTATATATTATCATGTTGAATTTCCAATCATGGTTCTCTTGTTTGTTCACTTAGAGATATATCTATCCCCTCTTGAACAATCAAGGGAACAATGGATGAAGCTTCTAGAGATTCTGGAAAATCTTGATCTGAGATAAATCTCATCAAGAATAACCTAACTTAAGAGCTTATAATTTCTTATCTAGTCCTCCTTTAAGAAAATCATGTGAGTGCTCACTTAGATTATCTTGTCCTTAAGACTAAATAAGAAATCATCCCTAGTTCTCTTAGGGTAGCCAAAAGATATGCACTCTTCCATACAAGATTCCATCTCAGTTGACTGCTGTTGTAGGACGTGTGCCGTAGCACCTTAAATCTGAATATGGTTTGATCTGGGCTTGCACCCTTTCCATAATTCTTTAGGTGTCTTTACAACAAACTTTGACGGAATCAAGTTAAGAAGGTACATTTCCTTCTCTTAGGCATCTCCCTTGAACAACATTGACAAAGATGAATAACTGAACATGATCTTCACCAAGTCTAGAAATGTTTGATTTTTGCATACTGCAACTTCATTCAACTAATGCGTTCTTAGAGTTGACAGTTACAAAAACTATCATCTCTTAAATCAGGTAAGACCTGAACTTACCAGACAGGTAGCCAACACTTTCGTCAGACCAAAGTGTTTTTGATTTGAACACCTACATGCTTTTCTGCCTCAGACTTAAACCTCTTGGAAATTTCCAAAAGCTCTAGACTTACGGCGCACTTGGTTCATCTGTCCAAATCCAGAGTAAACATTCATATAATGAAGTACTCATCACCTCTTCTGGTCTGAACGCTAATTGGTCCACATACATTAGTATGTACCAGTTCCAGTTGAATAGTTGCACAAACCTTTTAGGCCCTTGTAGGATTGCTTGGCCACTTTACCTTCCAAATAGGACTAACATGTAGCTGTTAGTTAAAAGATTCTTGAACTTTCAGTCCCTCTTTTAACCAAAACATATTTCCTACTTAAGATAATGTGACTCAATCACACAGGCCAAAGTTATGTTTCATTTGAAACTTTTATTTCTTTGGTGAAATTTCTTGTTCATCATCCTTTCCATTCAACATAACAAATTTAAAAAGGGTATAGGACATAGGTAATAAAGACTATTTAAAGAATGTACCAGAACAAAACAAGACGAAGATGAACTTCGAAATGTAACTGAGGAATCAATTGCATTGTCAAACCATGTTTTAACCAAAACAACTAACAAAAATTGAATTCCTCTTGAAATCCAGAACAAATAAACAGTCACTCAAAACCATAGTCGTATAAATAACTTGTCCTACTGCAAATGCAGACAAAAGTTTTCATTTTCAAGATTAAAATATCTATGTCCATTGCTGACAGGTATGCCATGTTTGAACTACTACAAAGAGTAAAAAAACATAATCAGTGATTCCTGAATCAATAATTCATTCACTGATCAGGCCTTGATATGCCCATGTCAGGTTCTTTTCATCACCTCTGGATAATTTTTCTTTCAGTATCCCTTCAGTCTGCACATGAAGAACTTGCCTTGCGGCTTCTTCATAGCAACTGGTTTGACAACTGATAACCAAGTCATTTTGTTCTTGTTACCACCCTTGGGTTTCTCTTTGAATTTAACAAGACTCTTAGCAAAACCTGCACCGACTGAATTCTGTCTAGCAGAGCTGCTAGACGCAACAAACATGTCATTAAGAGTCTGAAGCATTTCCACTCCACTCTTAATCATGTACACTTGCTTCTGCAAGTATTTGGAAAGACTGACAATAATATAGCAGCGAACTACCATATCTGTCATTTCCTAATCTGAGAAATGCATCTTAGTTTCCTAAGACGCATCCTCTGCAGGTTGCTATGGCCCTCGCATTGTCAGAACAAATTCTAGCTTCCATGTTTTAGAACAATATCAAAAAATTTGCTTTTCACTTATTCATAGTTGGTACCATCTAGAGGTTTTTGACGCAAATATTTTTGCACATAGGAGAGTCATAGGACTTACTTGGGATCTATTTGATGAGATCCATCTTCCTACCATACTTGGTTACAAGAATTTGAGCCTAGAGTTGGGATGGGGAATGGATTATAATTTTTGTTTTGTTTTGTCCAGCTATTTAACTGACTATGCATCCTATTCATTCTTTGTTCAGCCATCACTTCATTTTGGCTCCTAGATATTTGCTCAAATCTAAACAACGTCTTGGTTCAACTTTTAATATTATTATTATTTATTTTATGGTTAAGATTGTGAAGAAATTTTTATTTTGGATGTTGAGCTTGTGTGAAGTATGGCATTCTTGGTAGAATAGTCGTCTGATTAATGAACAAGAATCTTGCTACTTAAGTCAATGATTATTGATTAAGTATTTTGTTAAATCAATGTTTATTGATTGAGTATTTTTATTTAAAAAAGAAAAATTTGTCTCTTTACAAATACAACTTCCATGCAAACAACAAACACTTTATTTGTTTATTATTAAGGCGTGACGCACCGACGCACAATTTTATTTCAATATTGAATGGAATGAATCGTGCTAATTATAAGTAATCTTGTCGAAACCATTGCACAGAATGTCAAGATGGCCGAGTTGGTCTAAGGCGCCAGTTTCAGGTACTGGTCCGAAAGGGCATGGGTTCGAATCCCATTCTTGACAGTCGCACTGTTTTTAATCCATGAAACATTTGAATTTCTAATATTCTTTTTAACTTGTGCTAACCTTGAAACATTCGAAACCTGGTAAGAACTATGCTTCCCCGTACAAGCACTATCCTTTAGTTAGCTTGATAAGACTTCAGAGGTGTCTAAGCCATAGCAACAATCTAACTGTTTACATCTACAGCACATGGAATATCCTTATAGGATATATCAGCTATCCCCCCAACTCCAACAACCCCATGAAATTTTGCGCCTATGAGGAGGCACCTTGAAAAACTATCACCAAACTCTCCAATTACTTAAACTAATCACAAAAATCATGTTGCGTTTTCCTTTCTTTCTTTATTTTAAAGATAAATATGTGTCTCCCACGATTTTAAGGGTAACATCAGTTTGGTCTGACCATATTAAATAATTTAATAATTTAAAAAAAATAATTATTGGTTCATCGATCGTGACTTATTCAATTGAGTCGAGTAGAACCATATATGTGATAAAATTATACCAATTAAAATTTTAATTGGAATATTATATTTATAAAATGTTTGTTTATAAACTATTACAAACTACATTATGTCTGATCAATCATATTTTAATAAAAAATGTATGACCAATCATACTTAATATAATTTGTAAAAAAAAATTATAAACCGATTCTTCTCTAAATTTTAATATAGTTATATACCCAAAATTTTAACTCGAGTTTACTAATTAAACTAAAATAACCTATACAAGTTGGTCCTTGTACTTTTTTTAGTTAAATAATTTAATTTTAACTCGTATTTGGTTTAGCTGTTTTTCACATTTGAAGTTTAAACTTGTGGACGTCCTTTGACACCTTTTTGGCATTTTCCATTTCCAAGCCGCCGCGTTTCACAAAACCAAAAATCTGATTACAAAAGAAGCAAGTTGTAAATAAAATAAAATAAAATAAAAAAATACAAGTGCGTTTCGCCGCAGCACCTTTTGATGACTAATGCCAAATCATTATGGCTCCTACAAAGTGAAGGCCACACATTGATGAAAAAAAAAAAAAAAAAAAAAGGGTTCCACTTTCACATGCCTAGATGCTGTGTTATCCAAAACCACTTTCTTATGTGACTTTGATGGGTTACAAGACTTCAATTCTAGCCGGTGATTATTTGATCATCCACCCACCAAAAAATGATTCTCTCTTTCTTTATCTTTCTTGATATTGTATTTAGAATGTTCATTTTCATGAAAGACCACTAAACATTGTTTGCATTAGGTCATTTTGCGTCCAAGTACACACTTGTGCTTAATTTCATGGCATCCCTCGTACTAAGAATTTCAACTGATAAACAAATGGAATCATATGCTAAATCGAAACACAGAAGAAAAAGGTGGAAACAAAGCTTGGCAAAACGAAGAAATGACTTCATTATTATCATTATTATTTGTAGAGTAAAACTCCTTTCGTCCCTAACAAAAAAATAGGGTTTTCATTTTTTGCCCTTACAAAATTTTTTTTATATTAATCCTTTTTTAGAGAATAAAATTGGATCTTTATTGAATTTATGAGGAATTACATTTTTAAAGAACTGTAATTGTAAATGAATCAAAAGTTGACTTTTTTTTAAGAGACGAATGTGAGGATCATATTATTTATTAGAGAACAAAAATAGATTTTACTATTATTTGTAAGGGACATGTCGATATATACCCTTTTTTAACTCATGGACTATGTTCAATAGAATGCAATTCCTAGTCATGATTTAAAGATGACAAGGGAAAAAGAATATAAAAAATGATCTAGTTCTTTGTGGTTTTCTCTGTCCTTACGTGTTTTTTTTTTTTTTTTTGCCTTCAATTTTATGCTTAGGCCATGGAGATAAATTTCATCATTATAATCAATTATAGTCATATTCTTGAATTTCAATTTGGCTGCGTAAGAAGTATGAATCAGTCTAAGCCGCGATCCTTTCATAATCAAAAAGCAAAATTTATAAAAACACTCATCATTAGTAAAGATATTCCGTGAGCTCACAAAAACCACTGGAATATGAAAAGGAAGAACTCTCTATAGCAAAATTTTGTTGTTCCTAGCAAGTTAATTGGTTAACCTTTGCTCAATAGTTGAGCTTGATGAAGGGGTAGGTTCAGCTCCACAAGTGCAGTAATTTGAAGAGGAAATTGGTTTGGCAAGGTAGGTGGGTTTGTCATCACCAGCCATAATGACAAGTACCTCTGGCTCTGAGTTAATCTCTATGTTCTTGGGCATTGCTTGTTTCATGTCTTCAGCTGCATCTGATGATTGAGAAGAACGTTTCTTGTAGGAGCAAACAAGGATCACCAATGCCACAGATATAAGAGCAAGCATTAGAGCTAAGCCTCCAAAAAGGTAAGGAATTGGAGACTTCCATATCTTTATCCCACTGGTTGATGATGATGGTACACTGTTTATTGGTCTCATCTCTCTCTCTCTCTCTCTCTCTCTTTGGATGGCAGTGAAATGAAGTGAGTCTCTCTCTCTTCTCTCAATCTCTCTCTCTAGGTGGCAGTGAAATGAAGTGAGATGGTGGTTCTTGAATTTATAGTAAAATTGACAAATTTTGATTTACAAAACTACCCTTTTGGCATTGAGGAAGATTCCTTTTTGTGCTTGGTTAGATGCTTCATGTAGATATGAGAAGTGAAACACATTAGTGATTTGGGATCTACAAAGTGCCTAATATGAGATAAGCACTAAGGTTGTATATTACTATTCATCTGTTTTCTCAAACTTAATAGTATTTTATTTACTGATAATAAATTTGGTATTACTGTTTCAGTTGCCTTCATAGTTTTTCCCTAACCACATGCAGGCCCAAAATATTTTAAATTAAATGGTTCAAAATGCAAAAAGCAGTAGTTTCTCTTTGCTGAAATTGATATGGTAAGGGGCATAAGAAACTCCTCATCACTAGAGGCCAATAGTTGGGTCAGGAATCAGGATAAGGACTGATGAGGAATAAACTAAGCTAATTATTTATCAGTAACATGTTTTAGGGGCATTATATATCAGTGATATCATGGCACTTCCGGTTTACACTGTGCTAGTTACAAAATTGACGTAAACAGAACACCCTCATGAAATTTTGGTGAACTTATGTGTACATGTTTTATGGTGACGTGAAAAATATTTTTATAAAAGAAAAGCTTCATGAACTTGGTAAAAACAATGGCCATAAGGTGGTTCAAATGCTAACAATTGCTTCCCTGAAGTTATGTCTTGTGTCTTTATTGTGAAAATATTTTGTTATCAACTTTAAACATAGGAACCGTGTGATTCTTGACGATGAAATAAAGTAAAATATTTTCATTATATATAACTAAAGTATTGACCATGAACGGTTCTTTGACATAAATGGAACTCTCTATGTGATGAAAGCATGCAGGAATTAGATACTTGCTATCTCAATTCACTTCATTTATAATTTGGATTTCAGGTGGTTTGATGATGAAGAATATTAAGAGATAAAGTCATGCTTAAACCTTTAAGGCTTTACCTAGCCTTTTAAGCTATAAATTAAAATAAAGGGTTCCTTGTAGTGGCCAAACCAATTTTAAAGAAAAAAACATCTCGAGATAAGACAAAAAAAGAAAAGAAAAAAAGAAAATTCCTTCTCCCCAATGTTGCATTCCCTGTTCCCTTTGCTTGATTAACTAGAAGTTGGCCCCGCTATTAGATGAACAGATATTTTTATAAAAAAATTGTAATTTATAATTCTTGGAATAACTTTCTCCTCCATTACTACATTTTGTTAACTCTGTTTCGTACATATACAATACCATGAGATGCTAAAGCGAACTATGGAAGTGGCAAGTGTAACATAGGTCTATAGACAGATATTTTACTGAGAATGTTAATATATATTTTGTCATGAATTGCAAATGTTGAGATATATAGTCCCACATTGGTTGTATGAGCAACTAATGTGATCTTTATAAGGCCTTGGACACTCCCACCCTTTGAGCTAGTTTTTGAGGTGGTGTATCCCAAGGTTCTTATCAAGTGGTATCAGAGCCTCGTGTCCTGGGTTCAAACCTTGCCGCCCCCCACTTCTTATTTTTTGAAAATTAGCATGTCGGACACGTGTCCGACACGCGGTCAACGCTCAGACACTTTTTTTTTTTTAAATCTTAATTTTATTTTGTTAACTAAATATAAAAGAAATAATTTATAAATTAATTTTTTTCTGTTATAAAATTTGACATAAAAAATTAACAAAGTACGAAAAATTATTTATATTTATATTTATGTTATGAAATTTAAATATTTGATTGGTTATATGACTTATTATGGACTCTAATATGTATTAAATATAAATTATATTATATATATTAAAAATTTTATTTAATATCAAAACGTGTCCCAACGTGTCGAAATATGACATTTTTTAGAATCAACGTGTCGGGGTGTCGTGTCGTGTCATGTCATGTGTCATGTGTCCCGTGACTGTGTCCATGCATCATAGCCTGTTGCATCATCCACTCTTCAAGCCCAATGGGCTCTTGTGTGAGGGGACGTGTTGAGATATATAGTCCCACATTGGTTGTATGAGCAACTAATGTGGCCTTTATAAGGCCTTGGGCACTCCCACCCTTTGAGCTAGCTTTTGGGGTGATGTATCCCAAGATTCTTTACCGCAAAAATGTTAAATAAGTTTTTCTGAAGTATATTAATAATTTAAAAATATATTTAAAAATTATAAAAAAATATATATTATGAAATTCATTTGTGAAACATACTGTCACTTTGCTGTAAATCTAAGTCTACACATATTAACTCTACTATTTCGAAAAATCTCTCAACTTCATCAAGTATATTGGTTATTCTTTTTTACTGCCATTTTCTTTGTTTTTTTTATTTTTTTAAATGAAAACTTTGGACTCTGGATTTGGAAACCCTCGCCCCTGGTTTCATGAGATAACTTTGAAAGTTACATATGCTGAAACCGAATTTTGGGTTGTCTTTTTATCTAATAGTATCATAGTAAAGCCATAGAATGTCTTTTCATTATGTTACTTTCAATGAAATTTCCTCACACCCATTTGAAGATAAAACGGTTAGTTTCAGCCAAGAATATTGAGACAAAGTACTTGAGAAGATCCTATTGAGGCTGCCCACAATTAAATGAGATGTACAAAGACATGTCACCCACTGAAAGAAATTGATGGAATGTACATGAATCATGTCAATAACTACTCATCTCTATAATTCACACACCTTTTTCTCTCTTGTAGTTATACCAAATAAATAGGCCTATCAAAATTACTTTCTAAACGCAACATCATAATTAAGTGGGAAAATATTTTATTCTTCTTCAAGAAAAGGATGAAGCAAATCAGGTTCTCACAGCCTCCACTTGATTTTCTGACTCATTCGTGCGTGTCATCATTATAAAAAAGCAATGTCAACATCTTTACAATCCCCAGTTGTCGCGTCCACCAACCCACAGAAACCAATTTGGAACCCAATTTCTATTGCTTTTACAATTCTGGAACTAATGGATATATATAATCGATTAGGATTGTTAATGACATGGAAGAATATGAATAGAACATTAGAAATTCTTTTATATATATATATGGCTTATCGTTTCTCAAGCTGCTTGAGATAATTTTATCTCCGGTTACTAAATCATAATCGTACAAAGATGGATCAATGGTGATAAAGGAAGAGAGAAAAAAAGAGAATCATAACCATTTCAAAGGTAAATCAATTAATATAAGAAAATAAATAAATAAAATGACGTAGTTTTGGAGCAGTCAGATCTCAAACTGCTTGAGAAATGTTTTTCTCATATATATATATATATATATATATATATATATATATATATATATATACACACACAAGTTATGTGTATTAAATTAATTAATAATCAAAGTATTTTATTTTAAATATAATATAATCATGTAGAACAAAAGTTTAACTATATTAAATATAAATAATATTATGTCAATCATTAATTAATTTAATCTGCTCATTGGTAAATTGTACACTAAAATTTCTCTTGCTAGGCCACCTGAGGTTGAAAGGAACGTTCTCTTGCCTGGAAATCAAAGTCTATTGATCGTGATGGGAGTCAGTGCGTGATTGTCTATTTCTAATGCTTTCGTTGATTAATTAATTGTCATTATATCACTGTGGGAATAGAAAATAGTGATAACATACTTATCTCCTATGTAGCACCGACACCGATACGGGACACGTGACATGACACGACACGACACTTTGACACGTTAATTCTAAAAAATGTTAGATTTTGACACGTTAGGACACATTTTGATATTAAATAATATTTTTAATGTATGTAGTGTATATTAAATATTCAATAATTTAACAAAAACAAGAAATTAAACTTATAATACCCATCAATTTTACAAAGAAACATAAGATATCCCAAATATTTATATTAAACTCAATAAAATGATAATCGTAATTCAACGAATCTAATAGTTGAAACTAAAAATGCAACGTAATGCAACCTTTGAATCATTTTTTTGAGTTTCTACAATGCGTGTTGGAGTGTCGGAGAGTATCGGAGTGTCGAAGAGTGTCGGGAAGTGTCGGACACGACATGTCAAGATTTTTGAAGTGTCGGTGCTTCATAGCTTACCTCTTGGACTATTAACCTAAAAATGAGATTCTTCTGCACTAAAAAAATAAAATAAACGAGATTCTTAATATATGTGTAAGAAAATTGACTACAAAATCGTAACTATTTTATGTTGGCCGTTTCAATTTTTTTCTCAATTAGGATTAATTCAATTCAATTACTTTTTCAAAATAATTTTTCTCATTCCAGGAATTGAAACTCGAAATTTTTAATTTGCTATTTTTGTAGGTTTACATTTATGAGAAATATTCTTAAACTTGGACCGATCATGACTCAATTGAGATACTTATCAATGGATCACTTATTTAATCAATGAATTATTGGTTGAATAATTAAGTTGAATTGAATTTGTGTAAAGATATATAATAAATATGTATAAAAAAGTAACATAATAAATTAGAGTTATGTAATAGTGCTTAGCATTTCATTCCCCATCCCTTAGATGTTAAGTTAAGATATTAGGAATGCAATTTAATTTGTTGAAATATTTCACTATAATTTTATGAGAATCGATCGATTCTTGATCAAGTTATATGCATAGCCAATAGGGATGTAAATGGGCTAGGTCGGTCTACAGGAACCTACGGCCTAACCTATATTAAGCCAAACTTGACTTATTATAAATAGTAAAATAGAACATGCCTAGACTTTTAAAAAAACCTATTTAGAAAATAGGGCATAGGTTTTTTTTGTACATGCTGGGCTTATAATCCTACAGGTCAGCCTATTCATATTACTTATTTAAAATATAATAAATAAAATTATTATTTTAATAATTTTGAATAATAAAATAATATTATTTTAGTAATTCTTCTAATTGTTGAATGTTTAATAGGCTTAAACAGGCTAACAGGCCTAGGCCAAGGCTTTT